AGCTTTTACTTGTTGACAAACCATACATTTGGACACAAACAAAGCTATATTCCCCTTCAGATTTCTCCACCAAAATCTATCACGCAAATCTTTATACATTTTAGTTCTACCTGGGTGTGCGACATAAGGAGTAAAATGAGCTTCAGTCATAATCTCATTCCTCAATACTTCATCCTTCGACACGTACAATCGACCCTTAAACATCAAGGCTTTTTCTTCGGCTATTTCAAATCCTTTCCTCTTCTCAGTTCTGACATCAGCCCTGATCTTTTCCAAAAAGGGATCATCTTTCTGAACAGCTACTATTCTGTCCCTGAGTGTCGACTTCACAGTAAAACTTGCTAACATCTTCGATGTCCTTACTGGTGATGTTAACACTTCAATTCTCATGTCCTTGAAATCTTTGATTAAATGATCCCGCCTCCTACAAAGTACTAACAACTATCCCATGTTCTTTCTACTCAACGCATCAGCGACTACATTGGCCTTACCCGGATGGTAAAAGATAGTGCAGTCGTAATCCTTCGCCAATTCTAACCACCATCGCTGTCTCATATTTAACTCATTCTGGGTGAAGAAGTATTTGAGACTCTTGTTATCGGTATAAATCTCACACTTGCTCCCGTATAGGTAGTGGCGCAAAATCTTCAAGGTGTGCACTACCGCTGCTAGTTCGAGATCATTTGTAGGGTAATTCTATTCATATTGCTTCAATTGCCTCGAAGCATAAGCAATGACTTCCCCATGTTGCATCAAAATATATCCTAAACCAAGCTTGGATGCATCACTATAAATCACAAAACCTTCCGAATCGTCTGGAATAGTCAACACTGGTGCAGATATGAGTTTGTCCTTTAATTCTTGGAAACTCTGCTCGCATTTCTTTGACCATACGAACTCAGTACCCTTCCGAGTCAATTGTGTCATAGGACTTGCTATCTTGGAAAATCCTTCTATAAATCTTCGATAATAACCGGCTAGACCCAGAAAACCCCGCACTTCTCCAACATTTGTAGGTTTCGGCCAATTGGTCACAGTCTCAACTTTGGACTGATCCACTTCAATTCCTCATGCTGAAACAGTATGGCCTAAAAATTCAACTCGATCTAGCCAAAATTCACATTTCTTGAATTTGGCATATAACTTTCCTCATGCAGTGTTTCTAAAACTATCCTCAGATGTTCTTCATGTTGATGAGAATCTCTCGAGTATATCAATATGTCATCAATAAATACG